TAACCTACGTTTTTGCTTATTTTTGGTACATGTAATGAAATTCTTTTGGCTCCATAAATTTAATTTTTTTTTCAGCCGCAGCGGTTGGGCGGATATGATCCTGGATATGACAAAGCGCGCAAACTACAGCTCCAACTGTGAAAAAATCTGGGTTTGAACGATTTGAAGTATGTTAAATACTTTCCTAGTGGTGGCCCGTTGATGTGTGCGCGGATACGAAGTGCATGCAGATGCTCTACACGGTCACCGCCTACGGCAAGCCGTTCGATGTTGCGTTCCGCGGCTGTGGCGAAATCAAGAAGGGCATCGACTGGGGATTCGTCAGGAGCGTCAATTGTAAGTGTTATCGATTGTTTGAGACAGTTAAAAACTAAAAATAAAAGTTAGCTTCAAAAGAAAATGTCGAAATCTGGTAAATTTAAAACATTAAAATTCCAAAAATTTCCAATTTTTGTCGTTTTAGGGTTCAAATTAACGATCTTGTTAAAAGACTTTATAATGGGCGCGCATAATTCAAAGTTAACACTTTGAAAACGTAATAAAAAGGCGAATTTCAAAATTTATTAAATCCAAGATTCTCAAAAATAAAAATTTGCAATTTTTTAAAAGAATTAAAATAACAGATTAAAAATTAAATTGTTAGCTCAAAATAATAGACATCTGAAAAATTAAAAAGAAACGAAAAAAATTAAAATTAAGATAAAAATTTCAGATAAAAGTTTAGAAGATGAAAACCATTTATAGTCACCATGTACATGCACGCGTGCGAGGGTCCGCTGTGCAACAAGTTGTCGCCGCAGGAGCTGAAGGACGCCACTTGGGAGGGAACCGAAACTAATGACTCTAATAACATCAGTAACACCGTGATTTAACTGGATTTTTTGAAATATACCGAATCTTTTTTGATCGTAAGAAACCAATAAACCGATCCTGCCTTTGTTCTGCGCGTCTCAACAATATACGAGGCAATTTTTTAATACGTTCCGATTAAAGGATTTTTAACAAAAAAAAAACGAAGTTAGCTCCATGCTAAAGACAATCGTTAAAATAAAAATCACAAAGTTTTTGAAAATAATTGGTTCTGGACTGTTAGCGCGGGAGGGATTTTTGCAGCGGGGAAATCACTTTTGGTTTTTCCACATATCTAATTGATAATCCTACTATATATAAAAAATAGTGTTTGTGTGTGTGTGTGCCACTTTGCATGCAACTTCCGTCAGGGTGTCCGGAGGATATCTCAAGAGGGGAGAGGTGTAAGGAGGTGTTTGATACGTCATTAGGTGCGTGATGGTCCTGAGATGACTGCACACATGTTAGATTTTACAAAATCAACGATTTTCGACATTAAATTTAAGTTTTTGTTAAAAAATCGGCGACCCTCTTTGTTAGGAAAAATTAGCATGCGCCGGAAGTCCCGGTGGCCTATATAATGGGGTAGAGAGCGCAATTTTCATTTTTTGCCATCGGAAATCCAAGAATTACGCAAGGTTAAGTATATCGTGAGATCAGACCGGGCCAGGGTTGAAAAGTCGCGAAGCGACTTTTCAACCCTGGTATATAATATATTCTTATAGTGGTTTAGTAGTTTTTGTTAGCTAGAAAGTTGTAAAAAATTAAAAAGAGTTTTTTCGAATAAGATGTAACGGCTGCTTTTTCCAAAACCTATTCCGAAGCTTTTTATGTTCATAAAGGTGGATGAATTGTGGCTATTTCTGCCTTAATTAGCTTATAACTTTCGAGAATTGGCTCTTCCGCAAAAGCGGTAACCATATTCGGAATCAGCGCAAAATTCTGCACAAGGTAGGCTTGGTCCAATGCCAAAGCCCGGACGTCACTAAAAAACGTCTCCTTGTGAGCCGATTTTTAACGTGAACAAGCAGGAGACCAGTTGGTTGGTTAGTTCCCCCTTGCACATCACCGATTTATTCATATCACAAATGTAATTCAGAAACAGGTAAGGATATTGGCAATAATGGCTGTGGTGATGGCGATGAGAATGGTGATTGTGCTGCCGCCGGCCTCCTTCAGCTCGGCCACTGTCAGGTCGTTGCACAGATCCCCCCTCGCAGGTCCTCAGCCAGAAGTCTACTGCAAAAAATAGAGTCGCTGCAGCCCACGCCCAAAAGAAAAGCGTTCCTTTAGAACTTCGTTATAATGACTCACTGCCAGATGCTTCGCCTTCCCCTACATCGTGTATAGCGCTAACGTGCCAGCCCTTATCCAAGAAATCACGCGGCGCGCAATTCCGAGCGTGGAACAGCGTCTTGTGGTCTTGCTCAGCGTGGTACTGGATGCACCTGTCAGACGGGCACTTCTTTGTGGTCCCCTAAAAATGAGTTTTGTATTAGTTATTCTTCATTTTGTAATTCGACTGATTTTTCAGCCCATGCCATCCCGGCCACACCGCTCTGGCCTTCTGCCCCTTACCCCGATAAAAACCCCTTTTTGATCAGTTTTCAGTTACGGTTCCGTAAGATGGCGCATTCGAAAGCGCAAATTTTTCTACCACTGGGTCTGTGTTTATCGAAAACGTATTCTACAGGGTGGGCAAAAAAAAAAGTACAGAGTTTGGGCCGAAATAACTCGCGAACGGTAGAGAATCGAAGGTACGTTACCATGCCAGAATGCTTAAATATGCTGGGCATGAAGATTTAACACGACTTGATTTTTTCGATTTTTGGCGACGCACCCATACAAATGACACCCGAAAAATGTGCGTTCCGCACAAATGTGCGTTCCGTTGTTTCGGGGCTTCTGGTGGTGGAAAAATTCCGATTTTTGCAACACTAGCAGCATTATATAGTACTTGCTAGGAGACGAAGTTTCAGAATTTTTGAAGGTTTGGCTCGGCCTTGATGAAAGAGCGAATTTTTACATTGGGCTGTTGCGAGAATTATTAAAGATAAAAACATCCTAAGGCAAAAATTGAAAAAGGAGTGGTTACGCACTACCATAGGAATTGATGCGAGGGAAGAAAATATTAAAAACATTTTTGGAAATGATGAATTTTCCAAAATTTCGACGACCCCCTATTCATGGATTTTTTGAGGCCTCCAAATCGGACTTCGGAAAAGTATTTTTAAAGATTCCTAGAGAACCAGGGCCCTTTATTATTGTGTTCTTGTAGAGGCCAAGTTTATTTATCATCAGTGAAATATTGGGCTACAGTAACCGTCTCGGGTTCGTATTATAGGGTCGCCAAAATGGATGAATCGTGTTGTTTTTCGAATCTGGCTGTATTTCTATTGAGTTTCACTGTCCTCCCCAGATTTCGGTAATAATTTTTAAAAATTCTACATCACGGGCGCATTCAATGAGCATTTTGCAAAGACTTTCGGGTCAGTCGTTTTCCCGGAGGAATTTTCCGAAAACCCGAAATATGCCAAGTTTGAGGTGATGTAAAAAAATATATCATGCTCGGCTCCTCGAAATATATCCTACTATATATAAAAAAATAGTGTCTGTGTGTGTGTGCCACTTTGCATCCACTTCCGTATCGTTGTTCCAGTAGTATCTCCATAGGGGAAGACGTTAGGGATGGGTACGATATGTCATTAGGTGCGTAATGGTCCAGGGATGACTGCCCACATATCAGATTTATAAAAATCAGCCATTTTCGATATTAAATTTAAGTTTTTGTAAAACCCTCTTCGCTAGGGAAAATTAGCATTGTCCGGAAGTAGGAAGTCGCCTATATAAAGGGTCAGAAGCGAATTCTTTTCATTCTTTGGTCATCTGAATTCAGCGCAATTATGCAAAGCGTAGAACAGCATGCGGTCCAAGACGGGGCCAGGGTTGAAAAGTCGCGAAGCGGCTTTTCAACCCTGGTTTATCACTAATTCAGTTAACTGAGCTGGATAAGTTTCGCCCATCTATACAAAGTTTTTGCGTGATTAGATTTTTAAAAATTTTTTTGAAAAGCGTTTTCGAAGCAACCTATTTTCCAGTCTGCGGCGATTTCCACCATCATTTTTCATCGTCCTATACCAGGTGTTTGATAATATACATTATTTAATCGGGGCGATAGTTTAATGCATGAGTTCTTTATATCTATGATGTTCAAGAAAAAAGCATTTCCAGACGGCGATCAAAAGTGCAATTTTGGGCCGGCTTTCAGTCTTTCCTTTGTAACTCTGGAATCTGCCACCGGAATTGTCTAATATTTCGCAGGTAGACTCCTAAGCACCTAGACAGCCAGTTGCCTTCAAAAATGATCTAGTTTATGGAAGTTCATATTGCATGCTAAAACGCGCTCCCCCGAGGGTTACGGTAGTTCACAATTCCGCGTTTTTCGAGCGGTTTCACCATCAAATCGTCCCGTTTTTCATTGGGTAATTAATCAGATCGATTTTTTAAGCATCTGGCAAAGAATTTTCCGATTCTGGGCGGAGCCGATGACATTTAGGTGTGGTCATTGATATTTGGGGGGGGGGGAGTGTTTTGGTGAATATTTGGGAAGGTGTTTTCTATTTTCTCGTGTTATAAACGTTTTACGTAAAGAAGGGTTGTACTCCCGGTTGCCTATAGGCGATCAAAAGATTTGTGTAACGTTGATGGTTGTTTACCGCCGCCGCTTCTTCGAGGTCAACCCGGACCCACCCAAGGAAAAGCGCATTGCTTTTAAGGGCGATGAACTTGAACTACGAAAGCGCTTTTCCGATGACACAACACGACTTCGTGTTAATTTCGCAGTCATTTACATAAAAGTGTGGACTTTTTCGTGAGCAACATGTCGGATAATTTCAGAAAATGTACCGTAAACAGACAAATATTTTTGTTTTAAATGTGATTTTAGTGCTTTTTGAGGGCATATTGAGGTCGTTCGCTATTTTCTGGCGGCGTTCTGGCTTATATATACGAGGCGATCAGATGCTAACAGTCGGTCATCATCCACATCACCGCTACATGTTTCCAAAGTTGTTTCTGATTTCATTCTGCCGCACGATTCCTGGTTTCGTATTTGCCAAGTGGCTAATTAAGTTATTACCAAAATTTTTAGCATGGAGCGATCCAAGTCGTACAATCTGCGTTCGCGAGACCCGGTTTCGGAATTGAATCGGAGTGGGCAAGTGCCCAGACCTTTAAGGTTGAGCGAGCTACAACTCGATGATGCTGCCAGCATAAGTCCGATTCCCACTGAGATCAGCATCAGCCCACCACCAAGCGTGTTAAGCCTCACGAACTTCCCGTTGGCGCCTCCAGCCTACGATACTCCCGAGCCTAGCGTGTTAGACTGGTGGCCGGGTGGATCTGAGCTAGGAAGGAACGAATCAACGCGGATGCAGGTACGATGATTGAGCACAAGCCATACACGAAATTAGGCAACCACAGCTAGCCGACCAGTTGTCTTCAAAAAAGAAGGAGTTGCGGCGGCACTGGCTGACTACTTTCACGAGAGGCCACAGGTGAGCTAGGATTAGAAAAGGCAATGCCCCAAACACAAAATGATGCTTCAAAACAACTACATAAATTACCTAATTTAGTCAGAAGTACGCGCATGGTCAGAAGCAGACATGGAAATTCCCAGCTCCTCCAGCCGTTCATGCGTGCCAAACTCTTCATTGTTTGGCATTGCGGAAGCCCCGGAAGATCGATGGGCTCGATGGGATCGACAGGGGGAGCCGTTGCCCGGAGTTTGATTGGCAGCAATCTGCGTATACCTAGATTCAAAACATATTTCGTGAAGTTTTAGCCAGGCAGAGATCGACGAGGAGCGGAGATATCGAGCAGAATGTGACGAAAGGTTCCGGGATCTCCAGGAATGGAAGGCCAAGTAAGAGGAGCAACGTCTATGGAAATATATCTTTTGAAATAGGAGAAAAGAAAGGAAAAGGGCGGAAGGGGAACGACGCCGAGCGGAAACGGCTCGATTTTCGGAATGGTATAGGCAGAACTATCCTGTTGAAGAGCAGGTGCTGTGGAAGGGCCAAGCGGCGGCCAGGCGGGTGGCGGAACGAGCAAGGAAATTGGCCAGCATTTCCAGTACCAGACCCGCCGGCTCGGCAAACGCTTTTCCGACCCACTTCGATGAGTTAGTTTTTTTGCGCGATAAAACAGCATCTTTAGCGGGACTATGTTTATCCCGAAAAATTTTGAGTTCCCCGCAGAGGCACCTCTATCGCAGTTAAAAGGTAGCCTTTGCGTCTGATTAGTAATTATAAATTTGTAGCTCTAAACTTCGAGCCACCCCACTCAGTTGCGAAAAAAGGTGGGCAAAACGGCTGCCTGGTCGAGCGATCTCCAAGGTTGCCGATTTTCTCCAGGTGCTATCAAACTCAGTCAACAAACCGATGCCCTATAGAAAATACGGCCTGGGGCATCGCCGCGGCATCTTACTGATGCAGAGCTTGAGACCATGAAAATTTACGATTCATCTAAGGTGAGCTCTAGCTTGCGATAGGAGCTGCGAGCAATGAATTTAGATCGAAGATGACGATATGGGTATGGGCTATGAAATTTGCGGCACGGGTGATCAGGTATTTTAGAACTTCTTAAAAACAAGCATAGCTCTTAGGGCCTTGAAATTGGAGAAAATGAATGGGGAGATTCAGACGAGGAACAATCGGACACGGTTTTAGAAGTTATCGAGGACCAACCGCCGAATGAGAGATTGGGTGACGGAAAGCAGGAGGACCCAGGTTCGCTTTAGTCCGTGCTTGATTCGGTTCAGCGTCGATACAAGCCACAAAAAGGCGCAGCCTCCAAATCGATGACGGTGATGAGGAGGCCGAGACCGTTATTGTACGGAAGCGTCATCGCTCCGCCCCTGAGGTCGGCGGAACTGCCATCTTGGGACCAGTACCGGCTTATCAAGCCGCTGCAGTCACGGTATACCTGACTTGAAACACTTACCAAATATAATTCAGGGACGTGGTAAATATGTTTCCCTATGTGCTTGGTCCAAAGAGGAGAAAAGCGCAGCGACTTTGTTGGTGGAAGATCACCCCGATATCAGCGTCAACGAGCTTTTTGAATGGTCGAGGCGCCGGGGACATCTGATCAAACGCAGCAGCATCAGGGCATTTATCGTTCGGGTAAAAGCGGGTCAAGAAGCCGGGAGAAAAAAGGTAAATCGCATGACTTTGCTATGCAATATCGTCGCTCTCAGCCTGGCTCTGGCCGCCCTCTCAGTTTGATGGAGCTCCATAAAGAAGACCTAGAAGCGGCGGTGAAGATGAATCCTAGAATTTCAAGCCGACAACTGGCGGCGGTGTTGGGCATCCCACGGACTTCAGCGCGACTGATGTGCCAGCAACTTGGTTACCGCCGCTACAAAATGGTGAGTCACCGCATGTTTAAAAAAAATTGCCTTAGAGGCCAGTACAAATGCTGTCTGCAAAAAACAAAGAAGATCGACTGCGCTGCGCACGAAATTTCCTAGATGGGCTCGAATCCGGAGACCTGGACCTAAAAAGGATCCTTTTCTCCGATGAAAAATTTATTCGGATCGATCCGCCCAAAGGCGACCAATTCGTCCTATCCAAGGCGACTACGAAGCGGGAGGTTGAGGAGGAGCTGCTCGACATGCCACATGGCAAGCCAACCGGCCCCGGCTTCACCTTTTGGGGTGGTGTGGGCGGGAACGGGAAGAAATTGCCGTTGCTGGTGTTAGAGCAGGGCCAGAGAATAGGCGGCCTCGAATACAGGTATTCTATATCATCATCACCGACAGTTAGCTTAGGTACTTCCTGGAGCATCATATCATTCCGTACGCCGAGCAGTTGTTTGGCCATAACTTCATCTACCAGCACGACTGGGCGCCGGGACACAATGATACGAAGACGCATCAGATGCTCATCCAGAAGGGAATTCGATACCTGGACCGTAGCGAGTAAGCCATTAAACCCACAATGCTTAAATAGAATCTCTATTAGATACCCACCAAACTCTCCCGACCTCAATCCACTTGATTATTCGATCTGGTCAATGCATGAAAGAAGAGTCCGGGACCTAACTGCTGGCTTGGAGCCCAACATGCCGCTTAAAGAACGAAAAGAAGCTTTTGCTAAGGCCCTGCGACGCGCTTGGGCCAAACTCCCCGAGGAGCAGGTTGAGGCCGCGGTCGCACAACTACCGGAGCGTCTCTCACTTGTCATCAAAAATGAAGGAGGGAATATCGAGGCCCAATACGGCGCCCGTGTCCGATACAGAAAACAGTAAAAGTTGATTATATTTTTTTAACCGTTTTTACACATTGACTTGCCCCGTAAATAAAGTTTTTCGAGTCAGCAAAGGTTAACACCACGCATTTTTCCAGGCCCAATTGCATAGACAAATCCCCGGCTCTACTAACGGTTACAACTCTCTCATACTGGGCGTAGGTCCTTTATTTTCTATTCTCTGAAAGAAACGAAACAATTTCGGGGTGAAACCGCTCGAATAAACGCGGAATTGTGAACTACCGTAACCCTCGGGGGAGCGCGTTTTAGCATGCAATATGAACTTCCATAAACTAGATCATTTTTGAAGGCAACTGGCTGTCTAGGTGCTTAGGAGTCTACCTGCGAAATATTAGACAATTCCGGTGGCAGATTCCAGAGTTACAAAGGAAAGACTGAAAGCCGGCCCAAAATTGCACTTTTGATCGCCGTCTGGAAATGCTTTTTTCTTGAACATCATAGATATAAAGAACTCATGCATTAAACTATCGCCCCGATTAAATAATGTATATTATCAAACACCTGGTATAGGACGATGAAAAATGATGGTGGAAATCGCCGCAGACTGGAAAATAGGTTGCTTCGAAAACGCTTTTCAAAAAAATTTTTAAAAATCTAATCACGCAAAAACTTTGTATAGATGGGCGAAACTTATCCAGCTCAGTTAACTGAATTAGTGATAAACCAGGGTTGAAAAGCCGCTTCGCGACTTTTCAACCCTGGCCCCGTCTTGGACCGCATGCTGTTCTACGCTTTGCATAATTGCGCTGAATTCAGATGACCAAAGAATGAAAAGAATTCGCTTCTGACCCTTTATATAGGCGACTTCCTACTTCCGGACAATGCTAATTTTCCCTAGCGAAGAGGGTTTTACAAAAACTTAAATTTAATATCGAAAATGGCTGATTTTTATAAATCTGATATGTGGGCAGTCATCCCTGGACCATTACGCACCTAATGACATATCGTACCCATCCCTAACGTCTTCCCCTATGGAGATACTACTGGAACAACGATACGGAAGTGGATGCAAAGTGGCACACACACACAGACACTATTTTTTTATATATAGTAGGATATATTTCGAGGAGCCGAGCATGATATATTTTTTTACATCACCTCAAACTTGGCATATTTCGGGTTTTCGGAAAATTCCTCCGGGAAAACGACTGACCCGAAAGTCTTTGCAAAATGCTCATTGAATGCGCCCGTGATGTAGAATTTTTAAAAATTATTACCGAAATCTGGGGAGGACAGTGAAACTCAATAGAAATACAGCCAGATTCGAAAAACAACACGATTCATCCATTTTGGCGACCCTATAATACGAACCCGAGACGGTTACTGTAGCCCAATATTTCACTGATGATAAATAAACTTGGCCTCTACAAGAACACAATAATAAAGGGCCCTGGTTCTCTAGGAATCTTTAAAAATACTTTTCCGAAGTCCGATTTGGAGGCCTCAAAAAATCCATGAATAGGGGGTCGTCGAAATTTTGGAAAATTCATCATTTCCAAAAATGTTTTTAATATTTTCTTCCCCTCGCATCAATTCCTATGGTAGTGCGTAACCACTCCTTTTTCAATTTTTGCCTTAGGATGTTTTTATCTTTAATAATTCTCGCAACAGCCCAATGTAAAAATTCGCTCTTTCATCAAGGCCGAGCCAAACCTTCAAAAATTCTGAAACTTCGTCTCCTAGCAAGTACTATATAATGCTGCTAGTGTTGCAAAAATCGGAATTTTTCCACCACCAGAAGCCCCGAAACAACGGAACGCACATTTGTGCGGAACGCACATTTTTCGGGTGTCATTTGTATGGGTGCGTCGCCAAAAATCGAAAAAATCAAGTCGTGTTAAATCTTCATGCCCAGCATATTTAAGCATTCTGGCATGGTAACGTACCTTCGATTCTCTACCGTTCGCGAGTTATTTCGGCCCAAACTCTGTACTTTTTTTTTTGCCCACCCTGTACAAGATGTTTGGTAAGATTTAAGATCGACCGTTTCGAGCCAGATACAAAAACAGCTGCAACTTTGAAACTGGGCTCATCCGTAGATTTGGAAGACACTGGAATCAGCAAAAAAATTCAGCACAAAATAGGATTAGGTCTCAAATAGAGTTTCCAGCCTATGTAAAACACTTTACAATGAGGCTGCACAATCACCACCTGCAAGATCGTGCAGTCCCGTGAAATGGTGGTGATGCCTCCGATGAGTTCACCCCACGTCTCGCTAAACCATTGTCTGCTAGTCCGATTTCAACGACGCAACACAAGGCGGTAAAGGAACCCACGTGTCCTCCAGCATTTTCGGATCGAAGTCTTCATCCCCTTGCACGCACTGGTAGCAATCGGCCGTCCCCACGTCGAGCAGATAAAGCCAAGGAGACAGATGAACAGCAGCAGGACCGGAGCGCGGGCCGACATTTTGAAGAAATCTGGCTCAAACACGAAACACCCAACGTCAATTCCTAGCCCCAATGCAAAGATGAGATTCATGAACTCCTGCGCACGATAAACGATTTCTTAACACAGTAAAATCGGCGTCCTCCTGTAAGCGTTAGCAAGCCAAAACAGGCCGATTATGCGAAAAATCTGCAGTTTTCTTGAACATTTGTCCTACAGTTCGTGAAAGAGACTCAACTTTCCCAATGCAAAGCTTGAACGCGTGTCTGAATGCCTCTCAAGCATTAAACTCGCCCCGACCGCGAGCGTTTCACGCATTCAATTTCTTTTACTGGGGAGCGTGGAGAATTGGCGGACTCGTCGTTGGAGCGATGGCCCGTACGATGTACCCTGATTTAGAGTCGAATCTGTTTATTCAAGAAATTTCAACAACAGTAACAAAACACGTAAAAACATTAGAGGCGGCGTCCGCGATGACCTCCCTTCCTTCGGGTGCTGTCGGACGGGATTGGGGTCACGTCTTCGATGCGGCCGATCTTGATTCCACTTCGGGCGAGGGCGCGCAGGGCGGATTGGGCTCCTGGTCCGGGCGACTTGGTGCGCGTGCCGCCGGTGGCTCGGATCTTGATGTGGAGCGCGTTGATGCCGAGCTAAAAAAAACCAAGTATAGCTTGGATCCAAGCACCAAAAAATCGCATAGCACGCACGAGCACGGTCTCTTTGAAACCGCAAACGCAAGACAAGTTCATCAAAAAGTACCTGTTTGCAGCGTTCTGAAACGTCTTGGGCGGCGAGCATAGCAGCGTAGGGCGAAGACTCGTCACGGTCGGCCTTGACTTTCATTCCACCAGTGACCCGCACGATCGTTTCGCGGCCTAAGTTAAAATGTCAATGAACGAATAATAAATTACCGGAAATATCGGTGACGTGGACGAAGGTGTCGTTGAACGAGGCGAAGATGTGCGCGACGCCGAAGACGTTCTCACCCTCGCGAGCTTGCGGGCCCAGGGCGACGACGGGCTGCTCCTCCTTGGTCTTGCCCTTGCGTGCCGGCGCCATCTTCTCTTGTCTAAAACGAGGCAGTAACGAATTTCTACGGATAACGCTGAACACCAAAGATAATATTCACCGGAAACCAATCCAGTAAAAGATAAGGGCAATGGTTGGAGACCATGACTTTATTCAAAGGACAGTCAAAAGATCAACAAGTATTTATTCGCAACACAAAACAACAATTCAAAACGGGTATTTGTCGGGTTCACCATTGGTTGACCGCGGGGGCTTGTCCCCATTCTTGACCGGCCGGCTGGCCATTCCAGTTGTCAGCGTTGGCCTCGGCCGCCCAGTCCTTGATATCCGGGGCAGCGGTGAAGTCGAGTGGAACCTCCGTGGTGATGGCTTCTTGTTGACCGGCCTCGAATTCTTCGGCGGCTTGCTCCCTCTCGATCTCGGCTGGGTCGCGGAAGAAGTAGAGATCCGGCATGATCTCGGTGTTCTCGATCAGGAACGGTCCATCACGAGACACCTTGCCACGTAGGATGAGCACCTCGCGAGCGAGCAGCCACCACATCAGACCAACAGCCTGCGCGGCCTAAAAGGAAACTATAAACAATCCTATGAAAAGTTACCTTGTTATTGCACGGAATGGCGATGTCGATCAACTTCAACGGCGAATCCGAGTTGGTGAACGCGATGATCGGCACGTTGGCGTACGAAGCTTCCGTGACGACCTAACAAAGACAATTATGAAACGTCAAAAAAAGCTTTTTGAATACCTGATGGTCGATTCGCGGGTCAGAGATGATGATAATGCGCGGCTCCTTGAAGTTCTTCTGGATTTGATTCGTGAGCGCGCCCGGGGCGAAACGGCCAAAGACCGGGGTAGCCCCTGTGTGCGCAGCATACTTCATCAGGGCTCGGTGGGCGAATTGACGGGCCGAGACGACGATCACATCGGCCGGGTTCTCGACAGCGGCGATGGCGCGCGCGGCCAGCAGCAGCTTCTCCCAGGTTTGCTTCAAGTTGATGATGTGGGTACCTGAAATTAAACATTGAAAAAGAAATGCAAAACGCGTTCAGCCCGTCCGAGCTATTTTCAAACACTCAAAAAATGAAAGCATTCCAAAAACACACCGTCAGCGCGTCGTGCGTAGATGTACTGCTCCATTTGATGGTCGACGTTCGTCGTGCCGATGTGCGTGTAGGTGGCGAGGAGCCTCACCACGTCATCCTGCACCAGGCTCGAGCTCTCGTGTCCGCCGGACATTGCTGAAAGCAAAACTAAATTGTGAAAAACCATAAAACGAAAGAAAATAGGCCCAGCGAAATGACAGCGCAAAAATAGGGAATTGTCAAGCACAGCAGGAGATGAGCGCGTCAAACCCGGCAGGCAGTAAAAGCTACTAAAACGAAAAATAATTTAAGTTTCGTAAAAAATGAAAAAAATTGGGAGAGTTTTAGGATCGAAAAAAGAGGAAAAGATAAACGGGACCGAAAATCGAAAGCGCCGGCACCCGGCGGCTACCGTATGAAAGTCCACGGGATTGCATGCAGGCCAGCACTCGTAAGTGCGTAGTGTGCCGGAACAAA